ACACAAGCTAGCTGAAATATGATTGGTTAAAAACTCTACCATAATAAATAAGTTATTTATCGAGTGGCTTTCAATGTTATTTAAAATAACACTGAAAGCCACTCAACTAAGTGGAAATAATATAATGTAAATAATACAGAGAATAATTTTGTTTACGGACGTTTGGCGCCCTTTTTTGGACAGTTTGGTTCACTGCTCTCAGATCCTGCACAAGCCTCCACTTATTTGTCTGCATTTTTTTTCACCGGGAATAAATGTGTGTTGCACGGGGAATCGGGGTTTGGCTTCAATATGCCCGCTTTTCGCAACGAGGTAATTAATGGCTGGATTCCCTGTTCAGCATCTTTTTTCAAGGGGTATTGTTTTATAATAGGCCTGTGTTCTGTTTTCCCCAGTATAGTTACTGGTGGAGTTTCATTTTCAGTTTTCAGTTTCAGAAAACTTTATTTATCCCCGTGGGGCAATTAGAGTATTCACAGCAGCAAAGGAGCCGCTGGAAAGGCAGCCACTCTCGCGGCGTCATCCTGAAGTCAAAATAACATCCTTAATAAGGCCAACATCTGCCGGCCCGGTGCTCCACAGTGTGGCTGGGAGGTGCTCGATGACCTTCTCCTCTGCAGTTAATGCAAATGCGTCAATTTGTCAGCTAAAATGAACAGCTGGTGTGGTCGTCACCTTCCAATTGATGTGTTGACGCAACCAACTTCTGTTTCCTTGCACCCCAGATCGGCAGGGGAGGGGCTCCACATGTGGTTTGGAACAGAACTGGCAAGGTTATTCATGTTTTCCCATTCGAATTGCTCTGGTTTGCCGAGCGGTATGTAAAGGTGTTGGCCGGGTGACAGGAGGGGCTTGACCTCCCTTCCCACCCGCGCTGTGGCAAAACACCACCGATCTTTCCAATACACATGTTCTATAACAATACCCTGGGGTTCTAGGCCCAGAAAGACTTGAGAGTAGTCTAGGTCTGGTCCCGGTGTCTGCTTATGCCTTATGGTCACATGCAGGTCGTTCACCGTTTGCACGTTACCTCCTGGCTTTAATCTGGTACCTGCCAATCGAACCAAACATTCGGAACACTGAGTCACATCATCGTTCGGTAAATCGAGCGTCCAGAAATAGCGAGCATCATCCTGGCTATTCCCCATGCGGGCTTCGACCTGGCCCTTGTGATTTACGATGGTGTAAATCTCAAGTTGCGTTTGAGCATCTCGTCCCAATAAATTGTGCGGAGAGCGAGGGTTTAACGCAGCTTCGACGAGTGCCGTCCGGTCTGGGTTTGTGGGGGAAGTGATGGTTATTGTGTGCGATAACGTCAGGGGCTGCACGGATCCGTGTGCTCCCTTCATGCAAATTTTGCCGTCACTTGGCTTCACGGTATCACGGTCCCACCGACCGAGAACGGTGATGTCTGCACCGGTGTCAATGAGGAAAACATTGGAATTCCATCAGCATCATTTCCGGTTTAGTCATGAGAGAGGTTTGACGTCTCAGCAGGTAGTTTTCTGTGTCGAAAACCTGATTGCTATCGGCTAAGATGTCGCCTTCATCCTCACTTGAGAGAGCCGATTCAAACAAAGGTGCAGAAGGCTTTACCGCCGCCATAGCTGCATCCTCTTGTTTTGTTCCGTGCTAGTCATAATTCCTCCTCATCCGAAGATGAGGACCCAGTGTTATTATTATGCTCCCGAACGCGCCGGTCCTTCCGCTGTTGTCTGCATTCTTTCGCCATGTGACCCTTTTGTCCACAAAGGAAACATCTACCTTCAACAAACCGTTTTTTGTCCCTTGGGGTTAACCTGAAGGGAGCAAACGACCTTATTTGTTTATTACTTTTGTAAGGTGGACCTGTGTTTTTCATGTGTGCGCGTGGGTTTTTTGCGGCGTAATAAACGTTGGTTACGTGACTCTCATTCTTCTTTTTCTTGTTCTCGAGTCGCTCAAAATTCTGTGCATAATTCAAAACCTCATCGATCGGACATGTTGGCCAATTCAAATTATGTCTTTTAACATATTGTGTCACATCAGGATGTGCTTGGTTTACCAAATGCTGTTTTAAATGTGAATTGAACAAGTCAGACTGTGTCTCAGGGATACCGCCGTGTATTTTGAACACCGTCCGCAGACGGTGGAAAAAAATCGTCCGTTGTTTCGTCAGCTTTTTGAATGCATGTGGCAATTTCTTTTGGATTTTGCGTCCGCTCGTATGCCTTGGCGCAACGTTCCATAATTTGGTCAAGGGGTCCCCCTAGCTGTGTGAGTTCATCATAGCACAGATAACCTCCCGCAGCTTTTTTACCGTAAAAGTTGCCCACAACTGCGCCAAATTTGGAGCCGGTGGTTAATGAGAGTAATTTCAGAGGCTCACTCGCGTTAAGCCTGTGGCTGTGGATTAAATCTGAGAGTTCTCTTACGAACTCGTCCGGGTCGTCTTTCGGTTTTGGAAGTGACACGGCGATGTCCCTAAATTCGGCCGGCGTCCACGGTCTATATACATACAGTGATTCGTCATTCGTCGATGGCATTTGAACCATGGGGAACGCTTGGACAGGGTACCCTTCGAATCTAGATTCAATATGCTCAAGCGGGGTGGATGGGTGGAGGGTCCGCCTCCACTCATCCACTGTGCCCCTGGAGCGCGTTTGGTGTTGATGTCCAGGGTTTGGACCATCCTGCGGTTTGATCGGGTTCTCGAGACTCCAATTATGTGTGGTCGGTTGATTGGGGGGTGTCATGGGACTTTGATTTGTTCCCCAGAAGGAGGGGATACCGAATTCTTTTCTCTCGTAGTTTGCGACTGTGGGGGGAGGACCGGGTACAGCTCTCCCGAAACGGCGGCCGCTGGAGCGGCTGAGGGTTGCGTTGCAGCAGCAGCTGCAATTAAATCCTCAGCCAACCTTTGACGTTTGTCTCTCGCCTTTTTCGCCCGTATTTGTCTGGCCCTTTCAACGAGGATTTTACACTTGTACCATTGTTTTCCGTGTTCGTTATTTTTCCGCTTTTCTTCGTCTTTCAGTGATAATTTGCCCAACACTGTTTCCAATTCATCGCAATCATTAACGTCTCCCGAGAATCCGTATCTCTTTTTCCACTTTTTCACGAATCGCGTTGACCCTCTGCAATCAATTTCAGTCAATCGCGTGTTTTCGACTAGCGCTTCTACATTGTGACGTGCAGTCGTCTGTTGCGTTCTGCCCAATCGCCAATCCCCTGAGGGCTTCAGTGTCGCCATGTTGCTTAGCAACAGCTGGAAGCGTTTACAGGTATTTTACACACAAAAAAACAAAATCGCGATCTAGTTCTGGGTCGTTACGCGAAAGGAACCGAAACGTGCCCGCGCCGAAGTCTATATGGGGTACGTTACCACAATAGCATGATCGCCAATCACACTTACAGACTAACACAAAAATGATAGGCGCAACATACGCATACAACGTTAGGCACAAACTTACGCCGAGGTGGTCAACCTCTGCAGGAAGGCAGCGCTATCTTACCGTTTTTGCTTCGCAAGAAACGGTATCTAAATGAGCCGATGCTCTCACAGATGCGCTTGGGCTCTGTGTCCCGTGGGAATCGAACTTCCCCCGTACCGCTAACCACGAAATGGTACTCGAGCTAGCCTACTCCTTTTCGGCATTAACTCGTCTAATTCCGTCACTCAGTGGAGAGAACCGACTACGCAACGGTTACTCCACCACGCCGACTGACCTTATTTTTCCGACAATCGTCCCAATGCCGAGCTGAACCCAGGTCCGCTGGATGATGGCGTTTGCTCGTTCCCCACGGCGTCCGGTGTGCGGCTGGTTCCATCAGGAAAAGTTCCACGAGGTCTGGTTGGCTTAGGAGGCGCAAAACGCGCGATCAGCGACGGATCGTCCACTGGAGGAAATCGCAGAGTCCAACAAAAAAGCTCAAATCCGTTCGAACAAGCACATCATCCTGCTGACAACGCCAAGTTTCTGTCAAGAGATTTTCTCAAACAAAGTTAAAGAAATGACTCGGTACACAGGAAAATTGTCTTCAATATCAGCGGGGGCGGATCTCTGAGAGCGAACGATGGTAGTAGTTGCTCCGATGATCACACTCTCTCATTGTCTTAATGAGCCTGGCTTTGACAGTTCCGTTCTTGTGTTCCACAAGTCCTGCCGATTGCGGGTGGTACGCACAGTGTCGCTTCAAATCAATGTCCAACATTTTCCTCAGAGATTCCTCGAACAATTTCCCATTAATTGACTGGTGAAAAGGCTTACGTCCAACAAGCAACAGGCTGAAATAGCTCATTTGGGAGACCGTTTCACTCAAGATCTCAAGGTCACTGGTACAATCCTGGGTTTTGGCATGTAAAGCACAGAAATTGGTTCTTTAATGCAATTACTGTCCGACGATGTGCCCTTTGACTTGCTGTTGTCATTTTGGTTGATATGATCCCATAACTGATTGGTGAAAAGCCCTTAGCTAACCTGAAATGAGGCCGAAATAGCTCAGTTGGGAGAGCGTTAGTCTGAAGATCTTAAGGTTTCTGCTTCAGCCCTTGTTTTTGGGCATGTAAAGCGCAGAAACTTTTTCTTTCATGCAATTGCTGGACTTGAATGTGTCCTTTGACTCACTTTTGTGATTTTGTCCGATAAGGTCCCATTAATTGACTGGTTAAGAGGGCCTAGTTAAAGCTATAAGAGGCTGAAATAGCTCAGTTGGGAGAGCGTAAGACTGAAGATCTTAAGTTTTCTGGTTCAAACCCAGGTTTCATCATGTGAGGAACAGGAATTGATTCTTTGTTGCGATTATCGTACAACGATGTGTCCTGTGACTCACTGTTGAGATTTCGGCTGATAAGATCCCATTAGCTGACTGGTGAAAAGGCCTGAGGAAACTCTGCAAGAGGCCGAAATAGCTCAGTTGGGAGAGCATTAGCCTGAAGATCTGAAGGTCCCTGGGTCAAACCTGGGTTTCGGTATGTGAGGCACAGAAACTTTTTCTTTCATACAATTACTGGACTTCAATGTGTCCTTTGACACATTTTTGTGATTTTGGCCGATAAGATCCCATTAATTGACTGATTAAGAGGGCTTAGTTAAAGCTATCAGGAGGAGGAATAGAATTGATTATTTGTTGCGTTAACTTTGTGACGCTGTGTCCTTTGACTTGCTGTTGTGATTTTGGCCAATAAGATCCCATTTATCGACTGGTGAAAAGGCCTGAGGAAACTCCAGAAGAGGCCGAAATAGCTCCGTTGGGAGAGCGTTACACTGAGCATCTAAAGGTCCCTCGTTCAACCCCAGGTTTCGGCATGTAAATCACAGAATTCATTTCTTTGTTGCGATTACTGGACCACGATGTGCCCTCTGACTTGCTTTTGGCCAATAAGGTCCCATTAATCGACTGGTGAAAAGGCCCAAGTTAATGCCACAAGAGGCTGAAATAGCTCAGTTGGGACAGCGTTAGACTGAACATATAAAGGTACCAGGTTCAAACCCGGATTTTGGCATGTGAGGCACAGGAATTGTTTTTGTTGTGATTACTGGACGACAATGTGACTCTGGCCGAAAAGATCCCATTGATTGACTGGTAAAAAGGCCTTCATTAACATAATTTTTTTACAAGAAAATTGTGTTTTGGGGGTTAAATCTCATGCTGTGTGGCAGTCAATGAGCATTGAGAATACTTAAAGGCCAAGTGTGAAGTAATTTCATGAAATGACAAATAGGGTCACAATGAAAGTACTTAAACATTTTCCACCAAATTTCTCCATTGCGAGACGAGGTTTCTTATCTTATCTAACTTCCAAGTATTTTGCAGATATGAAGTGAGCACTGCAAAGACGAGCATTTTTAATTGCCTCCTCGGTCCAATTCTCACGTCGTAAAGCTTGTAACTATAACTCTCGCCTTTTTTTCTGAAAGTGGTGTTTACCAGCAGGAATTTTGTAGAAGACTAGCTCTCTATGTGTGCTCTTTCTATTCTGACAACCGACGGCACAGCATGATCCATTCATTCATTCATTTTCCGAACCCCTTGATCCTTACTAGGGTCGCGGGGGGTGCTGGAGCCTATCCCAGCCGTCTTCGGGCAGTAGGCGGATGAATTGGTTGCCAGCCAATCGCAAGGCACACAGAGACGAACAACCATCCGTGCTCACATTCACACCTAGGGACAATTTAGAGTGTTCAATCAGCCTATCATGCAGGTTTTTTGGAATGTAGGAGGAAACCGCAGTACCCGGAGAAAACCCACGCAGGCCCGGGGAGAACATGCAAACTCCACACAGGGAGGCCGGAGCTGGATCAAGCGGTTCGGAAAATGAATGAATGAATTATTATATATACTATAATAATAATAATAATAATAATAATACAAATCACATTTGATTAATTTATAATAACACAAATCATATGTAATGTATTTATATCTACTAAGCCCCTAAGGCTCCGTATATATCTGACATTTTGGGGGGTTGTGTTTTTATTTCCATAATCGACTATATATTTTTGCCCATAGTGTGAGAACACACGCAAAACAGAACAAAATCTACAATATTCCAAAAGAAAACAGATGTACTGCCAGTCCGTAAAGAAGTAGGAAGTAGGAAAGTAGTAGATGAGAATTGTCACTGGAATCAACTGTGCTGTCACTTCTCGTGAATAACTATGTGCACTCATAACTCAGGAAAGATTTTCTTCGACACAAACGCGAATGATTGTATTTTCAGACCGGAATCAATTTTAACTCTGACTTTATGCTATACTGGAGAAATGTACAATTTGGGTTCTACAAAAGTAAGGAAAAAAACACTAAACAAACCTTCATTATAAATTTAATAATTATTCTTGCTAAGTTCCATATCCACAAATCCAGATGGAATAATTCAAAACCTCTTTTCTTAATTTTTGAGGCAGAAATAAAGCAGTACCTGAGTTCTATTCTGGATTCCAAAAACAAGAAAGCTGTTAACACTTTGGCTATATGCTCCTTATTTGAAATTTTTGTCAAAAAATCCCCTGGCTTCTTTTTTGTTTAAACGTTTGTAATATATGTATGTATTAATAACATGTTCGTTTTGTTTTCTGTTTAGTGAGAATTGTATTCTGATTGGTTCAATAAAGATGATTAAAAAAAAAAAAAGAATCCCCGAAAAATTCTTATGAAATATGTTGGAAATGACATTTTGTTTTATTTTTTATTTTTTTTTAGGAGGGGGAGGGGGTGCATATCGATGTCTTTTCAAAACATGTCCAGAAGTGTTTGTGCCGAACATTGCGCTTGCGTTGAACTACAAGAGTCGACAAGCGTCAACACACGTGAGCTCGTCAAGCACCAACCATCGTGTATTCACGTGTCCAAAAGCAGGTTGCAGTCCCATTCAGGATTGCGTCTTCGGTGTCCAAAAGCTCCTCGATGATGTTCTATAAACAAAAACAGAAAAGGTGAGTCACTTTTTTTTCTCCATTCCAAAAACGTGGACATTAATTAAAAATAAAGAGTACACATATGATTGTGTGTGCGTGTACACATACGTTTGTGTGTGTGTGTGTGTGTGTGTGTGTTTACATCTGAGATCAAATTTGCTGTAGTGAAAAACCCCCTGTTATGAAAAATTTCTTGCTGCAAACATGATTTTGTTGTAGAGGAGTTTCACTATATATATAAAAAAAAAAAAATCCTCGTCTCACCCCCTCGGGTGGTGTCCATCCCTCATTCAGCTCGGGTCCTCTACCAGAGGCCAGGAGCTTGAGGGTTCTGCGCAGTATCCTTGCTGTTCCCAGCACTGCACATTTCTGGACTGAGATGTCCGATGTTGTTCCCGGGATCTGTTCAGACGACGTACAAGTTACTTATAAATGAAGGCTCACTAAACCTTCTGCAACTGTCATAGTATCTTCATGTTTGGCATTGATATCTGTGGAAATATATATATATATTTATATCAAGTCAAGTACAACTTTTTTGTCAAATGTGCTGTATGTTGAACATACAAAATATCTTATCTGTGCTGTATGTTGAACATACAGCACAGATGAAATTTCTTCCCTCTCAAGACAATATGCAACATAATATATACATATGTGCAACAATATATATGCTTGTGTGTGTTTATAAACTCATCTATACAAGTTTTTCAATTTGGTGTTCATACACCAGTCTATACTGTATTTTCAAGACAAACTATAATTCTGCTTGGGTTTACCTTCGAAGTTTTGAGTGTCCACTTGGTGAAACAGCTGCTGAATATGAAAATACAGATGGAACGAAATCTGGACTACCATGTTCAGGGATGATTTTCCTGTAAAATTTTAAAATTACATTTGAGAATTTAAATGATAAATATGCAGTGAGAAAGATATATGCGCGCACATACACACACCTGTGTGCGTTGTGAGGCATGTTTTATAATTTGGTGTGAGTATGGCTGTATCTGTTTGTGTTTAACGTGCATGAAGCATTGAAGAGTTACTTCCCACATAAATTGTAAGTACGTTTGACTGTAAAGACTGCATATCAACTGCTTCACTCATTTGTTACTTTCACTCATTGAATATTATTCTGGACTTTCAGAACATAAAATATAATTTGACATGGTGTCTGTGTCTTATGTGCTGTGTTGTATTATTTTGTCATTTTGACTTCAAGATGGCGCCGCAAGAGTGGCTGCCTTTACAGCTACTCCTATATTTTGTTCTTTTACTTCTTCCTTTCATAACTTTGCTGCTGTGAATTGGGAATTTCTCCATTGCGAGACTAATAGAGGGTTTCTTATCTTATCTAACTTCCAAGTATTGAGCAGATATGAAGTGAGCACTGCAAAGACAAGCATTCTTAATTGCCTCCTCAGTCCAATTCTCACGTCGTAGAGCTTGTAACCATAACTCTCGCTATTTTTTCTGAAAGTGGTGTTTACCAGCAGGAATTTTGTAGAAGACTAGCTCTCTGTGTGTGCTCTTTCTATTCTGAGAACCCACGGCACAGCATGATGTACATAAATATTTTGCCAACTCATTGTTGATAGCTGCAATGTAAAAGATGGACAGACACTTTGTGACACTGGGAAAAAAAGCTAAACAGAGACATGTACTAGATGATTCTATAGATGATGTACTTGGAGTGGCGTTCATGTAAATAGGCTTTGGGCTTCCAGCACGCTGATTTTTTTTTTTTTGTAATTTTATGCCATTATTTATAATCCTACAAAGCACAGATGATATAAAATATGACTTATACAATCATGACACAGTGGAAAAGTTTCCTCTTTTTCTGAGCACAAGATTACCAACAGAGAGTAGGGAATATCCCCAAGTAAATTTTGAAAGTTAAAATATTTTCCAAATTGTCAAAATTAATCTTTGGGGGAAAAAATCTGAGGCGAAAATAATTTTTCTATTTCATGAATGAAGCTTTTGAGGAAAAAGTCTGTATTTTTCACAAAATTGTTGAGTGGCTTTGGATTCAATAAAAGATTTCCATTTTTCTTTCAAGGGAGAAAAACTATTTCTGTTTTATCCAGAAAACAAATTTTTGAAAGCAGGACTAGTTCCACAAATGAACAGCGCCCTCCAGTGGCATCTAAGGGCATGGCCGCACAGAATTGTTGAGTGGCTTTGGATTCAATAAAAGATTTCCATTTTTCTTTCAAGGAATAAAAATTATTTCTGTTTTATCCAGAAAACACATTTTTGAAAGCAGGACTAGTTCCACAAATAAACAGCGCCCTCCAGTGGCATCTAAGGGCATGGCCGCCCCCCTCCCTCGGGCGCTGACCCTCCTGTGGTTGTCTGCACCGGTCGGTGGTGGGGATGCCCAACCCGAGTCAACGGGACCTGCTGAAAGTGCTGATGCGCCTGGAGGTGACCAGACAGACGGGCGGCGACGCGGCACTCACACTCGCCAACGTTTCAGTCTCTTTTGGCCGCCGGGAGGGAGAAAACCCTGGAGCCGTCCCTGCCGTCAACAAAGTGCGACCGTGCAGTGCGTCAAATTGTGCACCTTCATTATCGCGTGAACAGACATTCAGCTCTGACAGCAATTTAACGGTGCAACAGTGACCTCGTGTGGACAAATGGTAGTACAGGCATTCGGACGGTTCTGGCCTCTTGTGGCATCATTGTTGTCTTCCGCGAATCAAAAAGAATCCCCCCAAATTCTTATGAAACATGTTGGAAATAACGTTTTGTTTTATTTCTTTTTTTTTTTTTTTTTTTGGGGGGGGGGGGGGGGAATTTTGGGTGCATATCGATGTCTTTTCAAGTGTTTGTGCCGACCATTGCGCTTGCGTTGAACTACGAAGAGTCGGCAAGCGTCCACTTGGGGGACAACACACGTGAGCTCGTCAAGCACCAAACATTGTGTAGTCACGTGTCCGAAAGCAGGTTGCAGTCCCATTCGGGATTGTGTCTTCGGTGTCCAAAAGCTCCTCGATGATGTTCTGACATCATTGTTGTCTTTCGCGAATCAAAAAGAATCCCCCAAAAATACCAACACATTTTGGAAAGTTGTATCCAGATTTATTATTGAACACATTGACTCTGACTTTATGCTATACAGGAAATATGTACTATTTGGGTTCTACAAAATTAAGGAAAAAAACACTAGACAAACCTTCATTATAAATTTAATAATCATTCTTCTTGTTCACACAAATGAAACGAGTGCTTCCATAAATGCCAATGGCACATATATCGTTACCATAAACAAACTCTAGCCACTGTAGGCTTTTATATGGTCAATTAAGTGCCAAATAAAGACTTTAAAAGGTTTCAAACATTCAAATTGAACACCTTCCAAGTGTGATCGTCCATGATCCACAACACCTGCGGCGCAGTGCAGAGATGAGGCCAAATATCAAGAGTATCTCTCCATTCGATATTTCCTCACGTTGCCGTCTCATTTTTGTTCGAATAATAATCGTTATCTTCGTGAGGAAAAGTTCTTGGGTGCCTTAATGCTTCGCGATCAAACTGGGGGGAGTCTCCCTTCTTTCCCATGAGGTCTCGGTTATGCTGGTGTTGACTCTTCCTTAGGGAGGAGGAGTTGTCGCCCTGTCATTTGGTTCACAGCCATCTTTGGTCCCGTTTGGGAAGTAGCGTGTGATATTAATTTGAAATTTTCTTCAACTATTTTTCACTCATAATAAACGTAGTCGGTATTTGACGCTGGCTCACAAGAATAATAAAATAATAATAATAATAATTAAAAAGAAAACCAGTCAATGATCGGCATAATGTATGTCACTTCAGTCTAGAAACCCGCAGAGGGCTGAATCGAGTCGTGCTCATTCATTGATATTCATGCTTCTATAATATTGCAAAGAAGAAGAAGCCAATGAGGAACTTGAAACTTGCCTCCCCATAATGATACAATTCAGAGGTAGTTCTCCCACGACCCTGTTCCGGATAAACGGTGTTGATCCACCAGACCCTCTCAACACAAGTCCAGTCATATACTTATTTTTCCCATGTTCTCTTTCACTGTCGTCATGCTACATGGCAAGCAAATTACTGCCCACTTACAAGCGGAGCTAAAAATGTGACAGTGGTGAAATGCTGGAAAGGAGAGACAGTGAAGTCAAGGACAACACAAAAAACGACAAGGACCGCAGTTAAAGCACACGGACTGCTTGCTTGTGCTTTTAGTGAAGGGAGACAGTCATCTCGCTATTGTGTTCTGGTGCTGAATGTGCAGGTGGGGGTTTTGGGACAGTTAAACGTTTCTGTTGCAGACAATATCACCAAGGCACCCACACCGGGCTCATCATCACTAAGTATTATGCCCACCCCCACCATTTACTTATTGTCTTGGATGTAGTCCAACTAATGAGAGGTCAGTTTTGTATCATCTAAACGTGACATGGACTCCGGCCACCAATAATATTTGACCTTGTGTTTTTTTTCCAACCGACAGGACCGACTGGACCATCTGCAGTAGCATACAGGGAACTACTGTGGGGCAACTGGGACTCCCGCGGGGACAGTGGCGGGCCGTGCATTTCAACCTTCGGCCTTCAGTGACGTCACATACATGTACGCAATACTGTATAGGCTCGTAAAGCAGCACTTAATTTCAGCAGCATTTAAAACCA